CCTCCCCCAGCTAAGGAGCGATTAACTTTCGTGTGCGCTCGGCATAATTACTGCCTTAGCTGCTCGAGGAGGCGTGTCAGACAATATTAATCTGATTATACTGATTGCACTAAGCGAGAATGCCCCGAAGAGTTGGTCTGATGCTTGCTCCCTATTTCGCTGAACGTTAAACGCAAGTAAATCGTTATCCTAGTTGAAATTTCAACGAAAACATATTCGTTGGACTGAACCCGAAACTTCCTCCTTCCAGGTCGGGGAAACAGAGGAGGAGAAGTACAACCTGGCCAGCGTGTACGACGAGAACTTCCCGGTCATCTTTAACATCTGGGTGTGGTTCATGATCTTCTTCTTCCTGGGCATCTACGGCATCGTGTACACGATGATCTACATGGACCCCGGCAAGGACAGTATCATCTACAGGATGACCGCTACCAGGATCAAGAAAGAATAATCGGGGAGACCTAGCCGCGTTTAGACCTATCGGTGTGGATCGGGGGCATAGTGAAACTACAGTAACAGACTGGTGGTTTTGGTTGAGAGATGTAATAACTGTCTTCTCTGATGTGTCTAAACGTGACAAGGGACGGGGGAGTCAGGCGTTATTGCAAAGAAATCAGTATTTTTTGGAATGATAATTGTAATTGTTTCTTGTTGTCGTGGTGACAGCATGAATTTGTTTCACTAAAGAGGAGACGGAAACGTTTGTAAAGGGATGTAAAATATGTGGAGATTTATTTATTGAAAGAACATGACCCAATTGCACGTTAAGACGTTACATTACTGCAGCAAACACGTCACGATGGGATTACGTCATAACATATATCTTGGTATCACGTGGTCAGAGCGGGACGTGTTTACTAGTCCAGAACAGATTTGGCAGCATCTTGAGGCTATGGTTCTAGATTTCAGATGTCGTACTTTGCTAGCGTCAGTACACGTGTGTGTACCGACAAGCGGATCTGCCTAACGAAGCATTCATTAGCCAACGAATTCTCGTCTCAAGGTCCATAAACAATTATCTCTCTTTAAAAATTTTGGGTAAACTTTACGGGCGACTTGGCAAAGACAAATCACTAGTAGCGCATGAGTGTTTTGTATAAATGATCCCAATCCCAGTTTCCCAAAACATTTCGAAACTTCCTATTATATATGATTTTTTAATGTCGTCTACTTACTGCAAATATCAGGTGATAAAAGTAAGCAAATGATATAAGTGTGCTTGTCTCACTTTTAAATATGTATAAGTTGATGATGATTGTAGAAAAGTTTGCACATTTTTGATGATAGTAACTGGCCCAGCAACGATTTCGGTTTTCTTTGAAATTTTTGTCTGTCAGTTTGGAAATAGCAGTCGACTATATGATATGTACTTTAATCTCTGCCCAGGTAAGAAATCATTACATAAGAGCGCTAGTTTATATCTAGTTTCACCTATATCTAGTTTCGCACAAAAAAAAATGAGTGGAAAAAAAATGTCAGCTTTTTTATGGGGTTAAGATGGTGTTTTTGGTCAATCAAAGGGCATCAAGGAATATGTTTGCAATCCAACTACATATTAGCAAATACTTCAGTTTTTCTATGGTTTGAAAGTGAATTACGATTATTTGTTGCGTTAATGTTAAGTCAATCATGTTAATCAAATAAGCACAGTGGTTGCACAATGCAATAGCACTCGCATGTAGGGGCAGGGTGCACTGGTATCAAAACAATTGGCGTTGATCATAATTATAATGGCAGCGGGAGGGGTTTTCATTGCCAGGGTTTCATAGTTTTAAGGTTCGAGTATCGTTGCGTATATCTACAGTTGTTACCCCGGGTTTTGTCGTTCTGACGGCGACATGGCTTTGGGAAGTTAAGTCAACATCAAATTCAGATGACCGCTGTGGCATGTGCATTTAGTCGATAACAGTGTGTTTGGGCCTGTGTGAAAGGAATACGAATCCTTCGCTCTGAAACCCTGGCTATATATTGTACACTACTTATGAGTTAACACAAAGCAAATACTGAAAAGCAATAACTGTGATACAAAGGTTGACGTACGTATCTAATAGCATGGTTATCATTATTATTATTATTACCATATATAATTATTGCCTGGGCACAGTTTTGTCAGCAGCTTTAATGAAATATTACATTTTGGTCAAGGTTTTGGGATTGCAATAAGGTTTAAGTAATGACATGATTTGGGATCCACAACTTGTTCATAAAGGGTCACTGTATCACTTTCAATTGTCAATCGTGGTAATGGAGGACCCTTTCAAATATTACTTAGTTTGTAATGAGGTAGTATTTCAAATTTATCCTAGCTGTTATTCATGAAATATCAAAAGGTGTGAATTTTTTGTAAATAATGTATTCTAAATGTGCAATACCGCTTATGTCTTGTACTTTACTGCGTTGCTAGAGCGCTTAGAAAGTGGTGCTAGGAATGACGAAAATTGCAAGTTAGACGCTAGATGGCAGTGTGTGTGACTGAAGTATAGACACTAGGTGGCACTAGAAGACAGGTCACGTGTGACTTACCAATGTTTATTTCAGTTTCAGTGTATTGATGTACATTTCAGGTTAAGGTTCGTTGAGACATTCCATTGAGGATCCCATGTAAAATATTCAGTGTACAGTTAAAGAAGGTGTTCAGCATGTGTAAACTTTCGCACATTGGGTAGTGTGTGTTGTTGATCACCATGTACTTACCTTGTATACAAGCCAATAAAGAATTTAAACCGAGTTTTGGTTTTCATTGCTAATTTGAGATATGTTTAGTCTTTTGCTATTAATTATTATTATTATTATTATTATTATTATTATTATTATTATTATTATTATTATTATATAAGATTTATATTACTGATCGCGCGCGTTCAAATATTCTAATTTTTTTCTTTAAAAGAAACCAGTCACATTTAATAGTAATTTTTTTACAGTTTATTTATATTGGGGGGTACCCCATTTGTTTAAAATTAATGTCAACGTAGACGTATTGAAATCGATAGCCTAGCACAACGCCTCTCCTCTGCTCTATGGAAAGGCCAGTTTCCGTGCTATACTTGCAGCTCCCTCTATTGAAAAGAACCGGCATCACAGTGGAAGTTCGTTCTCGGTTCACCCTGGTTACATGTCACAAGCACGCACAATGTGCCTAGTGACTTTTACGAAATGAAATTGAAATAATTGTATTTTGTCGCGGCAATCTCCAGCACAAAAGAGCTTTTGTCTGAAACTTTCTATTTAGACTTTGTCACACACTGGTTCTAAGGTTTCAGTCTGAAAATCAATAACAATTTCCGGATTACGCAAGATTTTATTTGTCGGGGACCCTTAAGATAAGGATAAGACGAGTAATATGTTTTTCTGTATGAGAATCCCCTGTGATTCAGGATCCTGTAACTTGTCCTTTATACGTGCCATTCTATGGCATTGCCATACTTAATATTTTAAGTGGAAAAATATCCAAATAAGTAAAACCGAAAGATGCCATTTGTGCTGTTTCAGTATAGGAAGCCACTTTCAGTTATATAAAAGAGGTAAAAATACCCCCCAATACCCCCC